ATCATCACAGATTTGGTGTCACAAGTGCACGAGCTACTGGAATAATAAAAATAAGGGCCTGAATGAATATAAAGTTGTCTGACAGAAATACACAGCTAAAATAAAGTAGATGGGAACTTCAGAGTTGCGAACGTCGTGCAACTATACCTCAAGTCTCCTGTGGATAGCTGAATCCGAGCAAATCTACTGTACGCCGCTGGGACCAACTCCGGTATCTACACAAGAAGTGCAGAGTGTAGTATGAGTACAACCGACACCATGTACCCAGTAAGTGCCGAGCCTAACCTCGACGATATAGTGACGAGGCTAAGGTAGGTCACTTACATTAACATGTACGCAATAATAATAATTACAATAATATAGGAGAACATGAATAGAAATTAAACCCATAAATCATATCAACAATCAAGCCAACTCGGCAGTCATAACTAATTATTACTTAAATCACTTTCTGTTGCGGTGTGCAACCCGATCCCATAATATATTCATATTCAATTATGTTGGTGCGTGCAACCCGATCCCACAATATATTCATTTTTATTTAATTTTGTTGCGGCATGTAATCCTCAATATATCTTTTCAATCAATTCTGTTGCGGCGTGCAACCCGCTCCTCCAATATATTCACTTTCAATCAATTCTGTAGCGACGTGCAACCCGCTCCTCCAATATATTCACTTTTATTTCTGTTGCGGCGTGCGACCCGCTTCTCAATAATATAATTTACCAATTCTTATAAAAGAAATTATTCCAATAAATACAATAATTAATATAAAATTATAAGACAACAAGCATATAATAATTATGATTTATTTAGAAATAACTGATGACAAGTATCAATTAATTGTGGAAATTAAGGAGAAAATAGGCAATTTAATATTTAGTATGGTAAATGTCAAGTAATAATTAAGTCACATAAATCAAATAAGCATGTAGCAAATATAGCGTGGATTCAAGGCATAATATTGAGCAAGGAATATGAGAGAAATAATTAATATAATAATTAATTAATAATTTAAAATAATTTATGATTTCGAGATAAATGTTCAAACAATCAATTTGATGCGTATAGGCACTCGCCACCTCGCCTATACGTCACTACACATGAAATTCACGTAACAATAATTCAATGGTTCTATTCCCTCAAGTCAAGGTTAACCACGACACTTACCTCGCTTCGCAACCAAATTCAAGATTCCAATAAACCTTTACCTCGCGAATTGATGTCCGAAAGCTTCAAATCTAGTCACAAATAATTTAATATTCTCAACACGAATCGTAGGAATTAATTCCATATGAAATTACTAATTTTTCGGATTAAAAGCCGAAATTCATTTCAAAAACCGATAGTGGGACCCACGTCTCGAATCCTGAAAAAACTCACGAAATCCGAACACCCGTTCCGATACGAGTTCAACCATACAAAAATTATCGAATTCTAACATCGGTTGGCTTTCAAATCTTAAATTTTCGTTTTTGGAAGATTTTATAAAAATCTAATTTTTCTTCCATAAATTCACGGATTCATGATGTAAATGAGTATGGAATCATAAAATATAACTAATTTCGGATAAAGAATACTTACCCAACTCAAACTCGTGAAAAATACCTCTGAAATCGCCCAAAACCGAGGTCTAAAACTCTAAAAATGAACAAAAATGTCAGACTCCGGACATATATATTCATTCCAGGCATGTCGCATATGTGAAATACGGCTTGTCTCAAAATCTAAGCTAAAAATTGTGGTACCAACCTTTAGTCAGTCGATCATAACTTTTTGTAAAAATGTCCAAATGATAAATGGTTTATCTTTGAGGAACCTAGAATCAAAGGGCTACAACTTTCATGTTTGATAATTTCTAGATTTCTTATAGATTACGAGATATAAACTTCCAAAGTCAGCCATGTGCAACAGAAATTTCTGGCGATGCACACTGCCAGGCAAACAAAAACTGCATTATCAGCCTTCAGTCAATCGATCATAACTTTCTGTACAAATGTCCAAATTATGAATGGTTTATCTTTCTGGAAACTAGAATCAAAGGGATACAACTTTTATGTTTTGATAATTTTCAGATACCTTATAGATTGCGAGATATAAGCTTTCAAAGTCAGCTCTGCGCATCAGAAATTTCGCACACTGCTGTCAAAAACCAACAATTAAAAATGACCTAAAAATGGTCTGAAACCACTCTGAAACTCACCCGAGCCCCTTTGGACCCCGTTGAACACACCAACAAGTCTCAAAACATATTATGGACCTACTCGAGGTCTCAAATCACACATAACAATGGCGAAACTACAAATCGCGCGTCGATTCGGACTTATGAGTTTATGAAATTTTCAATTCTATAACTCGCGCCGAAACATGCCAAATCAATTCGGAATGAACTCAAATTTTGCATGCAAGTCATAAATGACATAATGGAGTTGTTTCAATTTCCAAAATCGAATTCCGACCCTGGTATCAATAAAGTCAACTCCCGATCAAACTTTCCAAAAATCTTCTATTTTTCAACTTTCGCCAAAATGAGCCGAATTGTCCTACGAACTTCCAAATCCAAATTTGAACATGCGCCGAAATCCAAAATCACCATACAAAGCTATTGGAATCATCAAAATTTCATTCTGGGGTCGTTTGCTCAAAAGTCAAATCTCCGGTCAAACTTTAGAAATTCAATCTTTATAAAATCAAACCTTTTTTTTAAAAAAACTAACGGAAAATGTGCCTACGTACCTCAGAATAACTTTAAATTTTGTACATAAGTCATAAATATTGTTATGAAACCGATCGAACTCTCGGAATCTAAATCGGAACCCGGTATAAAAAAAAACTCAATTATGACCAAATTTAGGAATTCTTAAACCTTTAAATTTTGAGTTTTCGTTAAATGCCGTTAATTTGAGTTAGGGACCTTCGAATTCGATTCCGGGCATACGTCCAAGTCCCAAATTATGATACGGATCTACCGGAACTGTCAAAATATCGATCAGGATCCGTTGACTCAAAACGTTGACCGAAGTCAACTCAATTGAATTTTATAGCTCTATTTCATATTTTAATCAATTTTTCATATTAAAACTTTCCAGAAAAATTTACGGATTGCGCACGCAAGTCAAGAAATATCGAATAGTGCTTTTCGAGGTCTCAGAACACAAAAATAAATATTTAAAATTAAAGATGATATATTGGGTCATCATAAGTGACCACAAATATATTTAGGTACATAATCTGAAAATTAATAGTACTGCTTATACATAACCAAGGGAGGGGAATATGAATGCATGTACCCCACCCCCTCCACATAAATCCGCCCCTAGGAGTTATCTTATGTTTAGATTCTAATGTGATTCCCTAGTCTAAATATACACTTGATGTAACAACATTAATCAATCAATATTAATCCCAATTTCATCTCCCCAAACGTGTGTTCCTTGAATTTTATCATCAGAAAACCTCGGAATCATTTTTAAATGATTCAATCCGGATTTTATACATTGTGGGCGGAAAAGGAGAATAACCCAAGGAATAACGTTAACATCTTGAGTTTCATGGCTTTCTTCAATATTCAGAATGAATATGTCATTTTCCCTTAACTAACTTTAAAAGTCTGGTCTCTCATTCAAAGATCTCGTCTTCTCCTACTACAAATATAATATTTTGTTTTGAAATATATAAAACTATTTAAAATCATATACTTCATTTGTTTCAATTTATATGACGTAGTTTGACCCGATATGAATTTAAAAAAACTAAATTTTTTGAAAATTGTGATGTTAAACATATCATAATATTTTATGTGGTTATAGGACATTTAAAACTTGTTGTCTTCAACATTAAATAATATTTGCATGACTATATATATAAAATAAAAATATTAAAGGCAAAATGGATATAATAAAATTTTAAATTAAATTATTTTTAAATATAAAAATATATCATTATTTTTTATTATAAATTAATAAAAAAAAGTATATCACACAAATTAAAGAATAAGTAATAAACACACCTTTTTTCTTCTAGAAAACAAACCCTAGTTGGAACTTTGGAGTAGGTTTAACCAAATGTGTGTTTAAATTGTAACCATGGTACTGTGTGAAGGGAAAGCCACACATGAATATTGTACTGTACTAGTTCAGTCAAATAAATGACAAAAGTTTCGGCTTTGCTTCTCACTTTCCTAAATCACAGTCCCCTATTCTCAACTCCCATATTATTATACTGTACTAATACACAAATCATACATGCAAAATCCGCGGGGACGTAGATGGACACATTCGTATTATATACTCTATCAGGGTTAAAAGAAGAAAAAAGTGAGAGTTTCTTACTTTCTTTTCAAACATTTCATGTTAATTTAGAAACTAAAGATAGATGAGGAGTTAAGATTACATAATTTAAAATATAGCAATTTATCAATTATGGTATCACGTGAAATGGAATGAAGAGAATATATATATTTAAAGGCTTTTAAATGTATATTATTTTTGTCCCAAGTTAGTGAAGATATTTGGTTCTATATAAATTTTAAGAAAAAAAATTGATATGTAAATTAAATATATGTAAAATATCAAAATTATTTTTGAAGGAGCGATATAGTGATTTTACATGTCTTTTTATCTTTTTCTTTTCTTATAAAATAATGAACTTTCAATTGTGACTTTGAAGTAACGATAAAGTTATCTTTTGTTAAGGGTTCAAATCATGGAAGCCGTCATTAATGCTTGTATTATGGTAGGTTCTACATATTATACCCCTTGTGGTGCAATCCTTCCTCGGATGCGGATGGTTTTGTGCATTAATCTTTTTTTACGATTTGAATAAAATCTTATCATTAAAAATAAAATAAGATTCTTAAAAATATACTATCATCCTTTTATGATAACTTTTTTTTAAAACAAAGTAACTTTTTGTTTTCTTTTACACAAAATTAGTAATCATATACTACTGTTTAGTACAAAAAATCATGATATAAAATGGCATGGCACCAAAAATAACATGTAGCCCCCCTACCTCACACCGTCATCTAATCTCCACCGTCATTCTTGTTGTGTTGTCTAGACAACTCCATTCCCCCATACCCCTTTTCCCACCTTTTCACTTCTCTCTCCCTCTTTTGCTCTCTACCTCTTTCTTCTTCTTCAAAAAGCTTTGGGGCATATATAACATAATTCTTTTCCACGATCTTGCCACCACTATCATGGCCACTTTTGTACTGTTTTCAGTACTTTTCTTGGCCATCACTGGTCATTCAAGTAAGCTTTTCTTTGAGCTTCAAATACTGATCAGATAGTAAAGGGTTCTTTTTTCTTGATCAATACTTCAAGAATTTGGCTTTTTGAGCTGATTTTTCTATTTTATGGCTATCTTGTGTTACTACTGCAGGTGCTATGTTCTGTATTTGTAAAGATGGGGTAAGTGATCAACAACTTCAGAAGAATATAGATTATGCTTGTGGAGCTGGAGCTGATTGTACTCCTATCCTTCAAAATGGTCCTTGCTTTAATCCTAATACTATTAAAGATCACTGTAATTATGCTGTAAATAGCTATTATCAAAAGAAGGGTGGAGCTGGTGCTAGTTGTGACTTTAGTGGAACTGCAACTACGAGCCCAAATCCACCAACTAGTAAGTTATTGTCTTTTTTCACTCATGACCCACATAATATTTTTTAAATTTTAAGCAATCTATTTGATTTACTGATTTTATATTTTTAAATAATCAACAGCCACAGGTTCTGGGTGTGTTTACCAGTCCACTCCTGGGTATGTTCTTTGTTCTCTATACTTGTCGTATGTGACTTAGATCTTGCATTTTTGTCGCCAATTTTAAATGAATCATCTCTTCAAAAAATATTAAATGTCACTTTTGGATTATCTTGAACAACCACCTAAGCTTAGATTAAAATGTCACTACTAGTAAAGTTCTTCTGAAGGAAAAGCTTACTCTGTAACATTTTTTTCTTCTCCTAGCGTCGGTAGACTTTAGAAGTTAAATTTCTACTATTTGCTAAAAATAGTTGCAATTATTGGTATCTAGATTAAGATCCGAATCGGAACTTGATGTATGACTTAATGGTTGCCACCCAAATTGGTGCACTTCTTTTCAAAGTGGTTTCTTTTTTCAAAATAAGATTATTGGTGCCAATTATGCTTTCCCTTACCAAAATTTTCAAATAGGCACTCCTGTCCTGGCTATGTTACCGTATTTTTTTTTATTCTCCTTGGTTGGAATCATTGCTGCTTCCTTCTTTGGTGATTCGAATCTACGACCCCGGGTTGTAGGTGGGGAGTGCTGACCATCCGGGCAATCACAATAATTTTCCTTGAAATGATGGTGAATGGTTTTGTGATTCATCATTATATATGCGCATTCTAGCAGTCTTGATGATGATATGTTGTTCTGTATGTCAATATGGTATTTTGTACATTTCTTCTTTGCCATGATGGAAAAGTAGGTTTCCTGAATTGGTAATCAAGTTTCTTTGCAGCCACAAATCTTATTGCTGATTTGTTGTCTCTACACATTATATTGTGTTTAGTATGCTTTCACAAAAAATACACATTTCGTATTTAGAAATAATTTAAATTTAAATTTTCGAACTATGCCGCATAATACTGTGTGGCTGATTTCCTGTTTCTTGATGTTATTTTATCAACTTTGTACCAGCAACACTGGTGGAGGTACCACAACTCCAACAATTGCACCACCAGGAACCACAACTCCAACGATCGCCCCACCAGGCACCACAACTCCAACGATCGCACCACCAGGCACCACAACTCCAGGAATCGGCACCGGTGGCACGGGCACGGGCACGGGCATAGCGACCACGCCAGGGACAAACAATCCAGTATTTGGGCTTGGACCAAGTGGAAGTGGCATTAGTAACACAGACGGTAATGCAGCTGGACATTTAAAAAACAGTACTATCTTTTTAACCATAGCCCTTTTGGCTATAAGCTTAATATGCTGAAGGGCCTAAAGTGAAAGAAGGTGAAAGGTCGATATTCTGCCACGAGGGTTGGGTCGTTAGGCGAAGTTTGATTGCTGAAACTTGGGGAATCTATCTTTCCTTTTGTTTTTTTCTTCTGGTCTTTCTATCTTATTATGGTTGCGTGGAAAAGTTGGAATTGGATTCCCTTTTAAGTGGAGGCCTAGTTGCTGATTATGGGGTAGTAGTTTTAGTAGTGTAGAAGAATCGGATCCCTGTCCCCTTTTTAGAAATTTCCCCTTTGTTGTATATCTATTATGGAGTAAAGGCAGAGGCTGTATTTATTGTTTCAAATTTTTATCAATTAGAACTCTGTATCCCATCCTTATCTCTATCACAGCCACCCAGTGGCGAAACCAGGAAATTCTAACAAGGGTGTTCAAACCTTTGCCAGTGGGCTATGTGAGGGTGTTCAAATTCTATTTTTAATCAATAACAAGTAATATTTTCCGGCGAAGAGACCACCCTTGGAGGAACGTAGCTTCGTCCCTGCAGCCACCATCTCTCTCTCTTGCTCTAAATGCTTATAGTTGTCAAAATGGCTTGATCTGTGTGGCTGAGTTACCCAACTCACTAGTGGGGCTGGATTAAGATTTTCAAGTCGAATTTAATGGTTAATTATAGTTGTCAAAATGGCTTTATTCTGCCTTCGTTATGGGTATTAATTAGTTTTATTTTGTACTCTAACTATCACATATGTTAATCTATGGTATATTCTAATTTTTGAGATATCTTTGCCTATTCCGTCCTGGCAATCAAACGACCCTTTAGATTATTAAGTTCAAGCTTGCACAAATAGCCGCTTTGAAGGACCGTTATGACAGTTGAAATTTACAAAAGATTTAAATTTTAGCCACTTGGGAATTAAAACTTTAGACTTTAGGCCTCAACTTTCAACTCTAATCCTCTGGGTCTGAAGTTGAGAATTGTCCGAGCCTAATTTCAAACCTTCAGGCTGAAGTTGAATTGGAATTTCAAAGTTTGAGAACTTCAAACTCAAAAGTTTTAGATTTAAACTACAAACTCAAAAGTTTGAAGTTAGGCATAGCAAACTTGTAGTTTTTCGTGTCTGCAGTTAAAATTTTATCGTTGCCCTTCTACCTCTTCACCTTGATTAATTCCTTACTTTCGTATTCTGGTGATTATGAATCAATTTACTTGTACGTTGGAACCACTGCACATCATTAGTTTGAAGAAGAAGAAGAAGAAAGTGCTACAAATAGTAAAAGCTTGGATGAAGATGTAGCTTGGTGCAAATTTTGCACAATTAAGTGCCACAAATAATAGAAGCTTGGAATTGAGAATAGTAGTTAGTGTTAGACAATATGTATTACTGTAATGAATAATAAAATCAGTAAACTTTCTGAGACACAAAACAGAAACAGAAAGTTAGTAGCAACAGAATATCAAAATAAGATTTGAAAATAATTACAGAATAAATCGAGCCCACTGAAATTTTGTGCAGAAGAAGAAGAAGATCTGAAAATTTCGTAAGGAAAGATTCTGGGATCAAGCCATATTTATAGCCATTTTCTGGCACTATTTCTGAAAAGATTTGCAACCTTTTAGAAACAGCTATGGCTGTTGGAACAGGTGGAACATTTCACGTTTGAAATATACCGGGAAAAAGGATTTAAAATAATCCAAAAAAAAATCGGACCGGGTCGTGTCGCGGGTCCTGGATTATTCCGGGTTGAATTTTCGTTAATTAATTAAACAATTGAAAGAAATTTTGTCCAAAAAATTTAATCAATCAATCTTTGACCAAATTCGAAGCCGAAGCCGAGCAAGCGAGCGACGGCGACGGCGCGAGGCTTACTTTTTTTCCAAACCGTTTAACACTAGGAGAAGTCTTTTCTCAATATAAATACATTCACTTTTCTTTCCACCACCAATGAGGGACACTTTGCTCTTTCCAAAAAATGGGAGCTCACTTTCCCTCCATTTTCTTCCCTCAATTTCCCATTCACCAATCTTTTAATCCCAACAATCCCCCACATGAATGGGAAATGACTATAAGACAAAGGAATGCACGGACGAGTGTGTGATTTACATGCAAGGATTAATTACATCTGGATAAGTAGGTTTCTCTTTGAACTTTCTGTAGTGAACTTATATCGGATATACTCGGTCAATCGGTAGATTTGATATCTTTGAACCGTCGAGCTTTGTTGTATACCTAGACAACATAAGTCACACAATCAACCCTTAACCATCTATGGTTCTCACGGTTGTGTTCGTTTCAGCCATGAACACCGCCTGGTTTCATGAGTGCTTAGAGAATGTGCGTTTACTTTCATTCCCCTTGAAGCGTCTTACACTTCACACTCACATAGGTGATTTCTAATCGTGTAATCCTATAGACATACTATCTGAACATTTCCTACCAGACTTAGCAAATCATTAAAAAACTTTAAGCTTTACTGACTCATTAAAAAGTCTTAATGCTTTACCCTGATTTCTGAACATTGTCTTTATCACGAGAATGAGTTGAGTTATTTGACAATGCTGAATCATAACTTTATTTGATCTCTTTGAACCTAGCTCTTGGGATCTCCAGTCTGCTAGGTAGAGTTAACTTGTCCTAGGCCTTAGCCCCATTCCCTTCGATGATCTTTCAACTGCCTCTCTAGATAGGCCTTTTGTAAGTGGATCCGACACGTTATCTCTTGACTTTACATAGTCAATCATGATAACACAACTACAGAGTAGTTGTCTAACGGTATTGTGTCTTCGTCGAATGTGACGAGATTTTTCGTTATACATAACGCTCCCTGCCCTACCTATTGTCGCTTGACTATCACAATGTATACATATAGGTTCCAAAGGTTTGGGCCAAAATGGATTTTTCAAGAAATTTCGGAGCCATTCAGCTTCTTCACCGGCCTTGTCTAAAGCTATGAATTCAGATTCCATTGTAGAGCGGGTGATGCACGTTTGTTTGGATGATTTCCAAGACACTGCTCCACCCCCAATTGTGAAAACATATCCACTCATGGATTTAACTTCAGATGATCCGGTGATCCAATTTGCATCACTATATCCCTCGATCACGGAGGAATATTTGTTATAATGCAAAGCATAATTTTGGGTATGTTTCAGATACCCCAAAACTCATTTAATTGCCATCCAATGTATTTGATTTGGATTACTTGTAAATCGACTCAGTTTGCTAATAGCACATGCTATATCTGGTGGCGTACAATTTATGATATACATCAAACTTCCCAATACTTTTGCATAGTCCAGTTGTGAGTCACTTTCACCTTTATTCTTTTGAAGTGCATAACTCACGTCAATTGGAGTCTTGGCAATCTTGAAATCCAAATACTTGAACTTGTCAAGTACTTTTTCAATGTAGTGAGACTGTGATAATGATAGGCCTTGTGGAGTCTTGTGAATTCTGATTCTTAAGATCACATCAGCAACTCCTAAGTCTTTTATGTCGAATTTGCTAGCCAACATGCGCTTAGTAGCATTTATATCTGCCATATTTTTGCTTATTATCAACATGTCATCAACATATAAACAAACAATGACTTCATGACCTGGAGTGTTTTTAATGTAAACACATTTGTCACACTCGTTAATTTTAAACCCACTTGCCAACATTGTTTGGTCAAATTTGGCATGCCATTGTTTGGGTACTTGTTTAAGTCCATAAAGCGACTTAACTAGTTTGCACACTTTCTTTTCTTTACCCGGAACCACAAAACCTCAGGTTGTTCCATGTAAATCTCTTCCTCCAATTCTCTATTTAAGAAAGTTGTTTTAACATCCATTTGATGGATTTCAAGACCATACACAGCCGCCAGTGCCACTAACGCCCTAATAAATGTTATCCTCGTTACTGGTGAGTAAGTGTAAAAGTAATCAAGTCCTTCCTTTTGTCTATAACCTTTGACAACAAGTCTTGCTTTATATTTGTCAATAGTGCCATCAGCTTTCATTTTCCATTTAAATATCCATTTCGAACCTAAAGGCTTATTTCCTGGAGGAAGATCAACCAATTCCCATGTATGGTTATCCAAAATTGATTGAATCTTACTATTGATTGCCTCTTTCCAAAATGCTGAATCAGAAGATGACATAGCTGCTTTGAAAGTTTGAGGCTCATTTTCAAGCAAGAATGTCACAAAATCTGGTCCAAAGGAAGTAGATGTTCTTTGAGTTTACTACGCCTTGGATCTTTATTACTTGGAGTATTTTCCTTTGGTTCTTCCCGTGGTCGTTTAGGTCTTTCACTTAACGACTCGCATTCAGCTTTATATGGATATATGCTTTTAATGAATTTAGCATTATCTGATTCAATTACCGTATTAACATGAATTTCGGGATTATCTGATTTATGAATCAAAAACCGACATGCTTTACTGTTTATAGCATATCTAATGAAAATGCAATCCACAGTTTTTGGTTTGATTTTTACCCTTTTGGGTAAAGGTACTTGTACCTTTGCTAAACACCCTCACACTTAGAAATATTTCAAGTTGAGTTTTCTTCCTTTCCATTTTTCTTATGGAATAGATTGCGTTTTGTTGTGGGCTACTCTATTAAGTATTCGGTTAGCTGTAAGGATAGCCTCCCCCCACAAACTCTGCGGTAATCTGAAACTTATTAATAAAGAATTCATCATTTTCTTTAATGTCTGTTTTTTCCTTTCCGCAATTCCATTGGATTGAGGTGTGTAGGGGGCCATAGTTTGATGGATAATTCCATATTCCAAGCATATTTCTGCAAACGGAGATTCATATTATCCACCCCTATTAGTTCTAATCATTTTGATCTTTTTATTCAATTGATTCTCCACTTCATTCTTGTATTGCTTAAATGCTTCAATTACTTCATGCTTACTATTAAGCAAATAAACATAACAATATCGAGTACAATCGTCAATAAAAGTTATAAAATACTTTTTCCCACCTCGAGATGGTGTCGACTTCATATAAAAAATGTCAGTATGAATTAAGTCTAAAGGATTTGAATTCCTTTTAACAGACTTATAAAGATGTTTTACAAACTTAGATCCAACACATATTTGACATTTTAATTTATTACACTCGAATTTAGGCAATACTTCTAAATTGATTAACTTCCGCAAGGTTTTGTAATTGACATGTCCTAAACGAATATGCCATAAATCATTTGACTCTAATAAATAAGAAGAAGCTGAAATTTTATTAATACTGTCAACAACCATTACATTGAGTTTGAAAAGGCCCTCTTTGAGGTAGCCCTTTCCAACAAACATTTCATTTTTGCTTACAATAACTTTGTCAGATACAAATACACATTTGAATCCATTCTTAACAAGTAAAGAAGTTGAAACTAAAT